AACGTACTGTTAACTTGCTGCCAGTTAGCATTAGCCTTTCAACAAACAGTTTTATTTTCTGTATTTCAAGTTACAATAACCAGCCATAGCACTTATGAGAAGCGAGTAATGGTACATAATAACAAAACTGATGGTAAGCTCTTTATTGGGAGCAGTCAAAATGACGGCTCTGGGAGTTCTAGTAGTTTAGTTTAGTAATGTCAGTTACTTTTTGAAATGTGACACACTCTATGATTATTTTTGGGGGTTCCTGACTGAAAAATGGGAGGGGATATCTCTCTCACTAATTGGCTATTTTTCCCACTTTTTTTTTGGAGTCAGTCCTTGCGGACACAGGAGTGGCTGACTTGGCATTGTTAATAAAAGCCGCAGAGTTTCATGTTTGTATCATGTTTGAACCCATGATACAAGTGTGGGTTCAAACTGTCGATACTTTCATGTGTACACATTAATGATGATTCACTGTGAAGAGGTAGAGAACAAAGTATAATTAGTATTTGAGATCCGTTCTGAGATGTGAAACATTCAAATTGATCAACGGGTGACATGGTTTTAGATTTGTTATTACTTACAGTCAACATAAATACTGACAAAACACAACTGGAAAAACACAAAGAAAATATAAAAGTGACAGCAGACAACAACAACAAAAAGTGATTAATCAACAACAACATATTTATTTAGACTTTTCTTCACTGAATAGTTCTTTCTTGTATATTATTTACTTCTTGGCTATTTTGAAAGCCAACACAAAAGACCTATATTACGGGTTAATTAATTAACACAATTAACACAATGATAAATGAATTAGCCAATACCAAATCAGTAGCACTTGTGCTTCGAGGGCCAATGCTTAAGGTACCATCACAAGATCTTTATTTGTCTACAACCACAAAGTAGATTAGTTTAGGCCCCTCTTGACACACTTGAGTGGTCTGAAAAAGGCCAGTTTACTATGCTTGGAATGAGTCTGCAGTAGGAGCGTGTGTGTATGGGTTTTTATAGGAGGCCTGTGGTTTGGCCCGTGTTTACGCTAGCCCCCAGTCTGCTCCACTGTAATCTGTGTTCACTCGCGGCTTGATAGGTCAACGACTGTTTGTTTAGATGTTTAAAGGAGAGGGAGGAGGAGGAAGAGGGTGGGAAGATAAGGAAGTACAGCAGTGTGACTGACCCAACGCTGTTGGTTTTATTATACATGCAAGGCTGGATGGGAACAAATCACTTCTCAATAGTTAGAGGAAGCAAATTACATTGACACGTTGGCTTTCTCTGAAGAAGACCTTTTTGGTGATTTGTGAATCTACACAAAAATTAATTTCAATACAAGGATATGCACCGTGATGTACTTTTGACATTCCTGTAATATTTGTTTTATCTAAGGGTTAACTGATATTGACCAACGTTGGTATATTGTATTGTTCCATTTTAAACATTTTACATACTTTTTTCCAACACAGCCTTAGTTATTGAATATGTCTGAGGTTTACAAAGCACTGTCTGATTAGTTTTGTGGTCAAAATATGGTATTTTATAAGCGGCCACTTCAGGAGACTTGGAGATCTGTCCTCTACATGATAGTTATTTTTTTGCTATTTACAACAGGTATTTATTTTGTTGAATAAACATGCACTTCTCTGGCATTTAGATAAAGTGTTGGACTTTTTCATTCCAAATTTTCACACCAAAGTTTTTCACTTTAAGGTATATTATTATTGTTTTTTTTGACCTGTCTGACTACTACAATTCTGTATCGGCCCTGAAAACCGTCGACCCCTGCCCTTACCTCCCATACCAAAATCAGAGTCATAATGGGAGCGTCTCAAAAGTACAATAGCTGCTCCACGCCGCCGCAGTGACAGTCGCTGATATCAGGCAGATGTGCGCTCATTAATAAGTGTTATGCAACGGCGAGTGAATGGTGTGTGCGGCCAGAGCAGATTATCAGGCCGATCTGCACTTCAGGCTGCGCGTCTATAATCTGATGATTCGAGTGCGTTTGTTGCTCCAGACTCCAGCCTCATTTCCTCTGTTGCCGTTTGCATGCTGAGCACTTAAACACATAGCAAACACTGACTGTATGTCTTTCCATGGCATTACAAAGTGGGAGATTAAAACAACACACACTCAAGCCACAATTTTCAATCATCAACCATCAAACTTTATTCAAATCAAGTAAAAAATGAAAAATATTACAGTTCTGTAATTAATAGACGTTTACAATCGTTTCTAATACTTATTTTATTTTGTGTTATTATATTGTTTGGGGTAGGGATTTATTATTTAATAAAAAATCTAAATAACCAAGCGAATAAGGGATCTCTTAATCTCTTAATTTTCCTCTGTTTGTAAATATTTTGTAGAGTCCGACCACAACAACTGACTTTATCTTAAGAGAAAACATTTTATCTTTTACATACAGAGAGCTGATTGGCTGATAATCTCTTTTTCACTGTAAAAGCAGATTGAAAGCTGTCACAGAGACTGAAAATGTGTTTGATGGAACTGTTTTTTTGCATAGATTTTACTACATCATTATTTTTGTCATTTCAAATTTAGGTACACCAGCTTTAAATTAATTGAAATTTCTCGGGCTAAAACTGCAACAAAAAAAAGGCCGTTCTGAATAAACTCCAGCCAGACTTTCTCACTGTAAACACGGTACTACCCCGTGTACGTCTGGCTCGGATGTGTCAGGTTGTTTTGACCACCCAGGCGACAGAATGTTAGTGGGAGACTCAGTGGCACATTTTAAAGCATTTAAAAACGGTGCACACCCACAATCTGTGCTTCTTACTTTCCTCCGAGCAGTGGGCAGAGGGCGAGATGGAGAGATGACTGGCCGTGTTATTATTTTTTTCACTCCCCTCATCGGAAAGAATGAGCGCGCGAGAGGAAAGCTGCGGAGGACAGACAGGTGGAACACTTTCTGAGTAAAAGTTCTGACGATTCACTGACTCTGCAGGTTTCACTGGCAAATGTGTGGTTTCACTTATGTGTGTGTCTGTGTGTGTGTGTGTGTGTGTCTGTGTCTGTGTGTCTTTCTGTGTGTGAGTGTGTTTCCTGTGAAGAACGAATGCAGTAATAACCTCACTGTATGGACAAGGGCTTTTATATAAAGTCTTGTGTTGAGAGACTTTCAAGAGATTTTTTTTATTCTGTACATGGGCAAGGCAAGTTTATTTGTATCACACAATTCATACACAAGGCAACTCAAAGTGCTAAACAGAATAAGATAGAAACAATCACACATGGCATTAAAATCAAAAAAATAATCCCAGTGCATTGAAAGGAGTAAAGATACAATCCTTCAGTTGTGTGCAAAGCTAGACGGTTTTTAACCTGGATTTCATTATGTTCAGGAAGACGGTTCCAGATCCTAGTTGCATGAATCTGAAATTCTGCCTCCTCATGTTCCGAATAATAATTCTCACTCTACATACAGGTGAAACTCTGAAATATTGTTCAAAAGTTCATTTATTTATGTAGTTCAAACTGAAAACCAATTTGTACATGTGAAGTACATACGCCAAGCCTTTGTTGTCATTTTGATGATTACAGCCTTACAGTCCAGTTTTTTTTTAATTTTTGGAGATATTTTATTGAGGGTTCTTACAAGCTGTGAGCCAGTTTTCAACATTACACAAATACAGGCTTGATATATCTCACTTTGCGTGTGGTGAGACAGTCATTAGTTACACATTAGTTTTCTACTTTCCCAAGTTTCACCTACTTCATTTTAAGAATCACAAAACTTTGCTCAGGGACTATAGGTGTAAATTAGCACTGCTGCTACAACCTGGTACAAAGCATCTCTCCTTTTGGCTAATGTTTACTGTACACTGTCCCTGTAAAAATAAAAACCATACCATACCAAATAGTTTTCCTTTGTTAAGCCTTCCTAGCACATCTATATCATCCCAGTATATCAGAGGAACCTATAAAGGATCTCTATATCTTGTGCTTTCAAAGACCAGAGATAAGATTTAGTATAGCAGCTTCACTTTCTTGGTGCTCCTTATGGACCAATGGCAAAGACTGAATAATGTAAAGTGCACGTGTCCATAGGCGCCTTGTTTATTTGTTTTTTTATTTTGTTTTCTTTTTGTGCGAAAGGAAATGTACATGATATGGAAAGGAAAAGAGTATGGAAAGTAACGGAAATGAGTATGGAAAGAGATGTTTGCCACTGATAAAATAAAAAATCCTATTGTTATGAGAGAAACACAATAGATAGAAAATGTCTCTAAAGTAATGATTATAAAAGGGTTTGTATAGCCCTCATTATCAACTACTTTGATCATTTTTACTTTGCAGAACTGGTTTTAAAACATGAACGAACTCTGTAAATGTTACTTTTCGTATACAAATACTGCTACTGTATACTATACCTGTTTCTGTACCAATCAATCCCCTGTTTAAGTAGCACAGCAGGAGCATTGATGCATCAGCTGGTTTGAGAGGGCACTTTTGCTTGAACCAATCACTGCTGTTTGGACATGACATATGTAGGAAACAATATTATCTTTACCCTGGATAAAATTCTCCAAACGTCGCCTTTGGTCTGGCTTTAGTTTCGGGCATATTTTCAAACACAGAATCTATTTCTTGGTAAACGTCCATCTCTTAACTATAAACAGCAGCTGATTGGCTGTTTGTGCTTCCTGGTTTTTGGAGCCGTCTGGGTTGCTGCTGTGATACCTGACTGAGTACTTTGAGTAAAATGAAACTGAGTAGAGGCACTAGGTGGGGCGAGTATAATAGTTCGACTAGATATATTCAATCAATCATTCTTTGTTCAAGGACATTTTTTTGGACATTAATAATCCGGCTCCCTGCAGACCACTGGCTCTCATATATTTGTTATTGTTGCATTTCTCAGATCTGTTGTTGGCGATTTGAAATTGGTAAAGTCTTTCGAGATGACAGCGGTTATGATTTTCTGCTTTACAAAAATACATTTAATGGATTTTTTTTTTAAATGCATTTGATCTGTGTTGCAGGTTTTGCGTTCCCAGACTGGGCCTACAAGCCAGAGTCCAGCCCTGGGTCCAGGCAGATCCAGCTCTGGCACTTCATCCTGGAGCTGCTGAGGAAAGAAGAATACCACGATGTGATCGCGTGGCAGGGCGACTACGGCGAGTTCGTCATCAAAGACCCCGATGAGGTGGCCCGGCTGTGGGGCGCCCGCAAGTGCAAGCCCCAGATGAACTATGACAAGCTGAGCCGAGCGCTCCGGTGAGCTTCCACGTGTTTACCTGCAGATCACCCCTCATCATTTATTCAGACGCCCACACCACAATAACAGATCAAATTTGTGTCTCACTAAAAACATGTTCAAAGTGAGGAACACAAATACAGCCAATCTGAACTTAAAACTGGGGTTCTTAACTTTTACGTAGAATAATAAGCATGAAATAATAATAATGATACGAATGATACCTATGAATACATAATTTATCTTTAAAACATGTTATATTTTGCATATAGTTCTCAATAGAAAGAACCATATGAGTCACTATTTGATGCTTTGGACTGAGATGTAAGGGTGGTCCCCTATTTTTCACTTATTTGTGTAAAAAAGCTGATCTAACCTGTCACAAACCTATCTGTATGCACAATATATTGCTACTGAGAACTCAAAATGAAAGCTTTGAAATAATGATGAAATAACAAAGAGGGATAATGTAATAAATCATTTTTTGGAGTCTATATTATCCTCAAAAATTTCAACAAATAAATAGGGGAATAATGCATTACTTACAGCAGTGGTTCCCTTTTGAAGGCGAGACCTCCAAACTTTGCATGAAACCAAATCTAACCCTCACTGAAGAATAGGATCCAAAGCAGTAATAATGGGAAGCATCAAAACATTTTAATTTTGTAATTTTAAGTAATAATCACATTTGTTTTGCGTCTGCCTTTGGAATCATCTTTAGCTGTCTTATGGATTTTCTTCTGACCCCTGTAAAACTACCTTGTTACTACATTGTTTAGTTGGGTTGATAATTGAAATTCGTAGTGCATGAATACGCAAACTGCTTCCATAAGTGCCTTTAATCTTCAGCCTCGTTTCTATTGATACTTCTTGAGAGCTCCTTTGCTGTGGCGACAGCTCGGGTGTCAACTCAGGTGAGCTATTTACGTTTGGGATGGCTGACCTGCTTTAAAAATACCTGGAGCCAATGAACAATTTAGCTAAAGAGGGATAGCCTAGAGCCACTTGGGTAAGGAGGACAGTAGATTACCAGTCATAGAAACAGGGATATGTTATATATGTAGGAGACCCATCAGTAATCTCTCACACCGGCCATGCACTTAATGGACTTATACCTAAGCTTTGAGTCCAGTGATGATATACTGTAAATACAGACCACATATGGAGGTATTATTCACTACAGATGCACAATCACACATCACATAGTTAAGTTCCGGTACGGCTGTTCTCTGAAACCGACCTCACATGTCGCCTGTGCAATCATGTGAAATCATGTTAGAATGTGCAAAATGGGACCTCGTGTGTCCACTTTAGGTAGTCGCTCTTAGCCCAGAACCTCTTGCTGCGAACATGTACAGTAGTGTCACATGCTGCTAACATGTACAGTAGTATCACGGGCTGCTAACATGTACAGTAGTATCACGGGCTGCTAACATGTACAGTAGTATCACGGGCTGCTTACATGTACAGTAGTATCACGGGCTGCTAACATGTACAGTAGTATCACGGGCTGCTTACATGTACAGTAGTATCACGGGCTGCTTACATGTACAGTAGTATCACATGCTGCTTGCATGTACAGTAGTATCACATGCTGCTTGCATGTACAGTAGTATCACATGTTGCTTACATGTACAGTAGTATCACATGCTGCTTACATGTACAGTAGTGCCACATGCTGCTAACATGTACAGTAGTGCCACATGCTGCTAACATGTACAGTAGTGCTAACATGTACAGCAGTGCCACATGCTGCTAACATGTACAGTAGTTTCATCAGTGTGAACACTTGAACCCTCAATCTCTTCACTTACTCCCCATATTCTTGCACTAGACTGTATTACAGATACATGCAAGTATTTATTCCTTTGTAGACAAGTTGTTAATAATATCTGCTTGTTTATTAAGATTTTATGTAGTGCTTGATATTCACCCATCTTGAGTTGTGTGATCCTGATTCCTACTTTCTGCAACTTGTGATGCCAATTTCTCCATTGTGAAACATATAAGAATAACTATGTCATAAAAATCCATGTCATTAGTTTATCTCTCTTGGTTGCAAACATTTTTGGCCTCTGTCACATCTGTGAGAGTATCATTCCTCGCTCAGTCAATCAGATCTCAGTTTGTAAATGATAGCCTGTTTTATAATACATATAATACAGAGAGCATGTTGTTGTCTGATTTGTTCGAAGTTTCAAAATGTTACTTAATTCTTCTTTCTATTGGGACAAACTCTATTCCCTGAGTTCCCTGTCTATTATCTTTGGAGGTACTTAAAGTAATAGTTGACTCTGTGGTGTGAATGATGAGGAAAGGCCTGTGCTGTAGCTAATCGGATACTGCGAGTGCCACTGGGAAAACCTTGCACTAAAATCTGCTCATAGCTTAGAGGTTATTGTGTAAGAGAGCAGATCAGACTGGATTAGCACTGTCTTATTCTTATAATCGCAAACTACTTTGTTCTTATGCAAATACCAGAGAACGGGGGTTCCCAAACTTTTCAATTAAATTCAATGTTTTTTTTTTTTGCCCAGCCTTAAATCACAAGGTTGTCAATTCACCAACAGAGAATTAAACCGTTCTAACACATGACATGTAGTAATAACAGCTATTTGTGATGACCAATGTCCTTTAAAGTCCTGGATAATCACTGTCCTTAGACCCTCTTTTAAACCTCTTGGAGGCCCATACTGCTCCCTCTTTCCCCAAGTCATCTGAATATTGTTTATTTCAACCATTTATTGTGCTATCAAATGTCACTTTAATGTTGTATACTATAAATCAGCTTGCAACTCCCAGCTACTGTACCGCCACACTTTTGGACATGGATCTCTCAGCTTATGTCTGTTTTAGGGTTGTTATGTGGTGGGAAAATCTCTTCTTAAGGCAATGTCATTTATAAATATTTGAGATTACATTGAAATAGAAGATCGGCTATGTTTAGGAATCAGAGTGTGAAGAAAGCACAGTCTATTTCTGAGCCTGTAGTATCTAAATATTGCCTGGTTAAACACGCCAGTGCCAAGTCATGGTCTTTAGCCAATTAGAGACTTTGTGTAAGTGCTATTCGTAGCATCTCGGCATGACTTTCCGAATGTCTGGTTAACAGAGCCAAAGAGCCAGACCCAGGATCACATAAAAGCAGCGTTCCCAGAAATCTAAACACACTATTCTTAAAGCATGGCCACCACTAGCATGTATGGACATTATAAAGAGGGGCTAGTGCTGTGGTCCAGTAAAAGGATTAGGTCAATTGGCATTTAATTTGTATCAACATGTTTGAAATGTGCAATGTTTTGGGGGGTCTGCGAACGAAATATTATGACATATAGTCTTTAACATAAATAATAGTAACAAACAAGTTCTTAACGTAAGTAAACCTGTCACAATAATTACAATACCGACTTATCGTTCAGTAACACATATTGTTTTACTGATAAGTGGGCAAAAAGTTGACTATTGAGAGTCCAAAATACTAATACGAGTCTTTTTTGGGTGTTTTTGCATACTTTTTGATGACATTTTTAAAGACGTATAAAGATAAATGCATATGTTAATGCTCATAGTCCTCCATATGGACCATACTGTTGGAGACCAAGTCCTCTGCCCTTCATATGTAGAACATGTGTGGAAATCCAGAAGCCAATAATGATGACCAAAGGTAGCACATGTTGGCGCGCACACACACAGAAACACACACAGACTACCTTTTAAAACACCTTGTACTCTGGTCTTACATTGGAGTATTATTTTTACCTCACTGATCCTGTTCTTTCCTGTCTGCCTGGCACATGCTGGAATTTCCCTCCAATGAGGCGATCCACATTGTCTGTGTGTGTTGGCCTTCCGTCAAGGGGTCCATGCGTCATCTCGGACTCCCGCTCCCACGGATTCTGTGAAATTCCCACTCCTGTAGAGAGGATTGCAGTCCCACTGTGACCGCGTGTGTCTGTGCACAAAAAGAAAGACCAAGGAGTGAGAGGGGAGATCATTAAACATCACCTATTATTGTCTGGGATGTTTTGTGTAGCTTTTGAAAGAAAAATATTCGGGAGCCGTATTGTGACAGAGCTGAAGCTGTCATGGTGTGGCTTTTATTTTTGTACTTTGGTTTTATTTTGACATTGTTTCTCTGTGGTTTGGTTTTGAGTTTGACTTCTGTGCTGTTTCCCCTGTCTTGATTGTCTGCCCCACCCTGCTGTGTTTCACCTGTGTCCCTGTCTATAATTACCCTGTGCCCCTCTCCACATGTTGCTGGTCCATTGTTATGTCAATGTCGTGTCAAGTTCTGTCTTTGTTCCTGGTTCTGTATTCTTGGATTTTGAGTTTAGTTTTCACATGGACTTTTATTTTATTAAATCATTATTATTTTTTAATTCCTGCATTTGAGTCCTCCATCATCCCACCCCGTGACAGAAGCCATTTAGGAATCATATGTCATCCATTGTTGTGATGATTGTCCACTAATTTAGCACTAAAATAAATACTACAATATCACTCAGATGCTTCACATGTCAATATTCTTTAACGCCATACATAATGGTGATAAACTACTACTACATGTAAGTACGGTCAAGTGGCCATACTTGCATGCGAAAGCCAGATCCTGTGCTGTAATGGGAGACCTGGGAACACCAGATGCCACAGTGGGGCGGCTGTGGCTGTAAAGTGCCAAACTATTGTTGTATCCTTGGGCAAGACACTTCACCCACATTTCCTAGAATGAGTCTGGTGTCGGTGTGAATGGTTGGTGGTGGTCAGAAGGGCCGATCACATACTGGTTGCCTCGCTTCTGTCAGTGTGCCCCAGGGGAGCTGTGTATGGACTGAAAGAAAAATGATACTCCCATCAGAGCACTAACCAAGCCCTGCCCTGCTTAGCTTCAGTTGTCTGGCGAGATCTGGCTTTCACATGCAGGTGGTGCCACAAATATATCCTTTAGTCATGCCATGTGCTAGAAAAAAAGGAACAAAAGTGAAAGTGACATCATAATTAAGGCAGACGTAAACTGCAGAGA